TCTCTGGTACCAAGGCTCCATATTCGTCCTCCTCTTTTCACGTTCCTCGATATTCCTTCTCACAAGGGCTATGGAGTCTCGGACCACTCCTGACTTGTTAACATAGAAGCAGCATGTTTCTTCTAAGGTGGCACATAATGCTCCCTCTTTAAGGAATAACAGGTCTAGCCCTCTCCTATTTTGTAATACTACTCAGCCAGGGCAGTAATTTCAGTAGAGGATAGACAAGGAGTAATACCGTGGCTGCAGGCAAACCAGGTTCCCAAAGGGGCATGTAGAATATATTCGGGCCCATCAGCATCTGTTGGTTGCAATTAGAATGGTAGGGTGATGAGGACAAAACATATCCCTGGAGTATTATGCAGGTCCCATTACCATTTAGATCCCCTGAGCGTGCAAAGGTCAAATTTCATACAGGGCTTGGTCGAGTATGTTTCGTTTTGGGCTAAAGCTTGCCCAGTCAATCCGTCTGTTAGTGTCCACGTAAAAGGATATCCTCCCACTTGCCCCAGTTGTCCCACCCAGAGCAACATAGGAACCCAGCCCAAAATCACTTGCGAATAATTCACAGCTTTAGGGGGTCCTGCGGGTGAGCCTGTGCTTTCCATTCTGTGGAGTCCTCTTCTGGTTCCTCTGTGGTGTTGTCTCTCTTTATTCTGCTATGATGAATCCAAGTCCGGACACCGTCGACTTTAACAGCAGTCGGGGTACTTAACACAATCAGATGAGGTCCAGTCCACCTAGTCTCCAATGTCTGGGGGTTGTGCTTTTCTACCCAGACTAAGTCTCCAGGCTGGAAAGCATGGGGAACAGCAGGGGGTAAGGAAAATGCATCTTTCAACAGGTGTTTAACCCGGTCCTGGAGCTGCTGTAATGCTGAGAGAGGTTATTAAATTTTCCCTTTGTGTCAGCAGGTGGGGCTCTTCTCCTACTCGCGGCAAGAGCGGAGGGGGAGCTCCAAACATAATCTCAAACGGGGAAAAACCCTTCTTATATGGGGTACATCTTACTCGTAAAAGAGCCATCGGAAGGCCTTCTACCCAGTTCTGGCCAGTCTCCACTACCAATTTAGTTAATGTTTCTTTTAAGGTCTTATTTAACCTCTCTATCCGGCCTGAAATTTGAGGTCTATATGCACAATGTAATTTCCAATCTATTCCTAGTATTTTACTTACTTTTTGAGTTATTTGTGCAGTAAAAGCTGGTCCGTTGTCTGTCCCTACCTGGAGCGGCAGTCCATATCTAGGGATGATTTCCTGTAACAGTTTTTTACTATTGTGGCTGCAGTCTCTCGTTTCACCGGCCAGGCTTCCACCCATCCGGAAAAGGTGGCAATTGCTGCTAATAGGTACTTATACCCATATTTTCCTGGTTTTATTTCTGTAAAGTCCATTTCCCAAAAGCGGCCTGCCTCGTTGCCTCGGTACCGATGCAGTTCCTGGTGTTGCGAGTTGGCCCCTTGGTTTACTTGTGCACAAGTCACACATTGCCTAGTGATTGAGAATACTTTCTCTTTTAGGTTGTTAATTCGAAAACGAGTTTTTAACAGTTCATGTAATTTTGTAGATCCCAGATGCGTTCCCTCATGCAAGCGTCGTATCAACATCAGGCCTAGGTTCTCAGGAATAAAAATTCGGTGATCTTTGTCTTGAATCCATATCTTTCCTTCCTTCTCGTTATCTAATACGCCCCCCCCCCCTTTTCTTTTGTATCCAGTCCAAGTCCTTGGCTGAGTAGCAGGGACTTACCGGCAATGTGGGTTCCTGAAATTTTATTTTCAGTTTTTGTACTATTCGTGCGTTTGAGAGCCATCGTTCAGGAGGGGAGTTTAGAAAGGTCTTAACAGTATGCGGAGTAAACACGGTTAATTGTTGTCCCATGGTTAATTTGTCAGCATCTTTTACCAGCAGGGCAGTGGCTGCAATTTGTCTGACGCATGAGGGCCACCCGGAGGCTACTGGGTCCAGTTGTTTAGAGAGATAGGCTATCGGCCTTTGCCAGGGCCCAAGTTTCTGAGTTAGTACTCCCCTTGCCACCCCGGTTCGTTCCTCTACGAACAGTTCAAAAGGTTTATCAGGGTTGGGGAGTGCCAGAGCAGGAGGTGAGGTAAGAGCCCTTTTAATGTCCTGGAAGGCCTTCCCTTGTGTCTTAGTCCAGTTAATCTTGGTGGCTTCGGGGCCAGGCGTGTGGCTCCCGGACCACAACTGGAGGAGGGACCCTGTTTCAGATCTTTAACCTCCACTTCGAGTAGTCCAAAGACAGGGAGGGACCCTGTTTCAGGTCTTTAACCTCCACTGTCCGATCCCGGACGAGCCCCCAAATGTTGCGGTCCGGGAGCCACACGCCTGGAGTCGAGTTCCCCGGTAAATGCGACCCGTGTCCCAACCAAGGACACCCGAGAATCACCAACACCAAGTAGAAAGATTAGCAAAGGATTTATACAAGTGCAAGTATAGAAGCTTACACAAACTGTCCGGACAGGGTCCCACTCGGAGAGAAGTGAGTGAGACCCCGACTAACAGTCGGGCGAGGCTTTTATACCCCTCACAGGGCGGGAAGTTCCCAAGGCGGGAGGGAGCTGTTTAATTTTGAATCAGCCAATCAGGAACCCGGTTCTTCCTGCCCCAAGCAAGCAAGCAAAGCAACTTTCTTACAGAAGTCAAAATGTGCTGTTAGCCCTGAAGCTGTTCTTCCGTTTCTTTCGTCACAACTCTTCACTGCGGTGTGCAGGCTTCATTGCAGTGGCTTCTCTTGTTGCGGAGCGCGGGCTCTGGAGCGCAGGCTCAGTAGTTGTCGCACACGGGCTTTGTTGCTCCGCGGCATGTGGGGTCTTCCCGGACCAGGGCTGGAACCTGTGTGCCCTGCATTGGCAGGAGGATTCTTAACCACTGCACCACCAGGGAAGCCTCCCACTCTGCCCTTCTTTGCAGCACTTAACACAATTGTGATGATGTGCTTTTTCGGTCAAGGCCATAAACTCCAACAAGGCAGGGACAAGGTCTATTTCATTTAGGGTTGTAGCAAAATTTCTGGCAATTGAGTGCACAGTAAATATCTGTTGAATGAATAGAAGGTGCTGTTCCAAGAAAGGAAGAGGGAAATGAATGGATGAGTGGGTGTGAGTGAATGAATAAATGAAGGTGAGAATGAATGTAAGATGGTGCTGCCATCCATTAAAAACTGAGGGACAAAGTTCAGCTTTTTGGAGCTGACCCATAGTTTCTGATTATATATATATATATATATGTTGTTGTTGTTGTTGTTGGCTGCACATCTTGCAGAATCTTAGTTCCCTGACCAGGGATTGAGCCCGGGACACCGCAGTGAAAGTACCAAGTCCTAACAACTGTATCAGCAGAGAATTCCCTTTCTTTTTTTATTTTTTAAAACATTTATTTATTTATATTTTTGGCTCCGTTGCTGCGCGCAGGCTTTCTCTAGTTGGGGCTACTCTTTGTTGCGGTGTGCGGGCTTCTCATTGCAGTGGCTTCTCCTGTTGCGGAGCACGGGCTGTAGGCGCGTGGGCTTCAGTAGTTGTGGCTCGTGGGCTCTAGAGCGCAGGCTCAGTAGTTGTGGTGCATGGGCTTAGTTGCTCCGCGGCATGTGGGAATCTTCCCAGACCAGGGATAGAACTTTTGTCCCCTGCATTGGCAGGCGGATTCTTAACGACTGCACCACCAGGGAAGTCCTGGGAATTCCCTTTCTGACCATATTCTAAGGCTAAGGAGAGTTGGTGGAGCCGAGTACTTGCTGTGGTTGCCATGAGCAATCAGAGAGGACTTCACGGAGGCAGAGTGTGGATGTTTTCAGCTCCCTGCTGGGAGGAGCCGCACAAGGCAAAGGGAGCTCCCTCAAGAGGGGACGTAGGAATCTTATGGTCATCTGAGGAGACAAAGTCCCTGTTTGCGGGTCATTTAGAAAGTTAAAGAGTAACTTGGGGGTTATCAGAACTGGTTGAATCGAGTCTGAACCTCATCACCTATTGCAACAATGAGCTAGGTTGCTTAACTAAACCCTTAGAGTCAACGGCACAGCTTTCTCCTTCTTGGGCCTGCTGGCAGGGACCTGGCCTGACATCTCACAGAAGGTCCCCAGTAAACTGTCAACTCACCTCACCCAAGCTAGAGCAGGTGTCAGAAAAAGTCCCCACTACACTCTGAACCTAGATCCTTATTGTAAAATAAAACAGCTTGTTTGAAGTCCTATCATCTCCGACATTTCATAATTCCAAGATTCCCAGTCTGTATTTCTTTTTTTTTTTCTTTTTTTTTTTTGCCGTATGCGGGCCTCTCACCACTGCGGCCTCTCCCGTCGCAGAGCACAGGCTCCGGACACGCAGGCTCAGTGGCCACTGCTCACGGGCCCAGCCACTCCGCGGCATGTGGGATCCTCCCGGACCGGGGCACGAACCTGCGTCCCCTGCATCGGCAGGTGGACTCCCAACCACTGCGCCAGCAGGAAAGCCCCCCACTCTGTATTCCTTGCTAGAGAAGTATGCAAGCCAGTTGGTGAGAGGCTTGGAGACTGAAGTCTGAGCCTGTGCTTGAAGGGTCCTCTGTCTGGGAGGTTCTGTGGGTCTTTTAAAGATAAGGAAGGGGTGGATGTGAAACTTAGTAAGTGCTCAGTGCATTTCTGCTGAATGAACTAGCAAATTAATGAATACATGAATTCATGAGTAAATAAAGGAGTGAGTAATCAGTAAGTCACGGGGGTGAGGATGGAGTCAAGGAAGGCTTGGCAGAGAAGATGCTGGAGCTGGGTCTGAAAAGGTCAGAACAAAGCCTGAAGCTGGTGAGGGGGCTGTGACCATAGCTAGAGGTTTCCTTCTGGGCTTTTTCCTAGTCCCGCCTCCTCCTCCCACATGACAAGGTCCTAACAAAATCCAGGGGAACGTTTTGCTCCCGGGTACTGTCTCGCCAGGGTTATTTACTGTAACTTGCAGTCACCGGTCCAGGTGGACAGATTTTTCTACCCTCAACTTGTCAAGACCTCCCAAACTCTCTGGCACCCAGAGAACAACGTGTCCAGAGCTCAACCTGGAAGAGCACAGCCATGGTGCTCTGGGGTCTGGTGCTGGGAGCTCTGATGGTGGCCACTGTGGGGTACCTGTGCCTGCAGGAGCTGCTCCGGCAACGAAGACCCAAGGAGCCCCCTCTGGATAAGGGCTCCGTGCCCTGGCTGGGCCATGCCATGGCTTTCCGGAAGAATATGTTTGAATTTCTGAAGCGCATGCGGGCTAAACACGGGGACGTATTCACGGTGCAGCTAGGGGGCCAGTACTTCACCTTTGTCATGGACCCTCTGTCCTTTGGCCCCATCCTCAAGGATGCGCAGAGAAGACTAGACTTCGTGGAGTATGCGGAAAACCTGGTGCTAAAGGTATTTGGATACCGCTCCGTGCAGGGGGACTACCAGATGATACACTCAGCCAGCGCCAAGCACCTCATGGGGGATGGCTTGGAGGAGCTCAACAAAGCCATGCTGGACAGCCTGTCCTTGGTTATGCTGGGGCCCACGGGCCCCAGTCTGGATGCCAGTGGCTGGCGTGAGGATGGCCTCTTTCACTTCTGCTACAACGTCTTGTTCAAGGCCGGCTACCTGAGCTTGTTTGGCTACACAAAGGACAAGGAACAGGACCTGCTCCAGGCAGAGGAATTATTCGTGCAGTTCCGCAAGTTCGACCGCCTGTTCCCCAGGTTTGTCTACTCCCTACTGGGACCCCGGGAGTGGCTGGAAGTGGGCCGGCTCCAGCGTCTCTTCCATAAGACGCTCTCCGTGGAACACAACGTGGAGAAGTGCGGCATAAGCAACTGGATCACCTATATGCTTCAGTTTCTGAGGGAGCAGGGAGTCGCCCCAGCCATGCAGGACAAGTTCAACTTCATGATGCTCTGGGCCTCCCAGGGTAACACAGGGCCTACCTCTTTCTGGGCCCTCTTGTTCCTCCTGAAGCATCCAGAAGCCATGCGGGCTGTGAGGGAGGAGGCCACCCAGGTCCTGGGAGAGGCCAGGCTGGAGGCCAAGCAGTCCTTCAACTTTAATGTCGGTGCCCTGCACCGCATGCCGGTGCTGGACAGCGTGATGGAGGAGACACTGCGGCTGGGGGCCGCGCCGACCCTCCTCAGGGTGGTGAACGGTGACCACAGCCTGAAGACGGCCAGTGGGCAGGAGTACCTGCTCCGCAATGGAGACATCCTGGCCCTCTTCCCTTATCTCTCAGTGCACATGGACCCCGACATCCACTCGGAGCCCACCACCTTCAAGTACGATCGCTTCCTCACCCCCAGCGGCAGCCGAAAAGTAGACTTCTACAAGGCAGGCAAGAAGATCCACCACTACACCATGCCATGGGGCTCGGGTGTCTCCATCTGCCCTGGGAGGTTCTTGGCCCTCAGCGAGATGAAGCTCTTTGTCCTGCTCATGGTCACACACTTTGACCTGGAGCTGGTGGACCCTGACACACCTGTGCCACCCGTGGACCCCCAGCGCTGGGGCTTTGGCACCACACAGCCCAGCCACGAGGTGCGATTCCGCTACCGCCTGCGCCTGTGGAGTGAGCTCTGCCCAGGTGGCCGCAAGCCTGGCTAGGGGGTTCCCTTGGGGTCTCCGGCTCCGCTCGGCCCTCTGAAGCCCCAGACCAGCCCTTCCGCTGACCTGCTTGCCCTCTCTGCTCTTTGGCCTCCTTCTAGGCACCTCACAGGCTTCTTCTCTTTTTAAAACACTGTCTCTCACAGTGGATTCTGCAGAAACTGCCTCTCACAGGAAGTCCAGGGAAGGGGAAATATCTGTGGGCAACTCAGTCTGGGGGCTAATACATGCCTTGACAAGTCCTGCAGTATAGACACTGGTTACGGTGGGCAATGCAGCATCTTGCAAACGTTAGTCTCCACCCTCCCACTCTGCTTTGGTTGGTTTTCCTCAACACTTTTTCCACATCCTGTGGAATTCAGCGTTTAGAACAGTGTCATCCTATAGCAGTATGAGGCAAGCCACACGCATAATTCTTAATTTCCTAGTTGACACACTTTTTAAAAAGTAAAAAGAAAGAGGTGAAATTCATTTTTATACTGTATTTTACTTGACCTGATATATCTAAAATATTAGCATTTCAACAGGGAGTCAATATAAAGGTATTAATGAAATATTTTTACGTTTCTTTTTCCCTTCAAAACCTGGTATGTACTTTTTAACCCTTGATACTGAGCACATCTCAGTTCAGACTAGCCCCATCCTAAGTGCTCAATAGCCACGTGGGGCTAGTGGCTTCTGTAGTGGATAGAGCAGCTCTGTAGGAGTTGTTCAAGGTCCCTCCTCCGTGCCCTCCTCTCTCCTCTGCACCCCTACCTTGGGGTGATCTCAACCCCTCACTTGGTCTCCACAACCATCGCTGGGCTCAGAGATCTCTGCTACCTCCAGACCCCCCAATCTCCCCACAGGGGTCTCACAGCACCTCTGACTCAGTTCGGCCCACGCAGAACTCAGCACCTGTCCCCCCAACCTCTGCCCTGAACCACCTGCTTCTCCTGATTTCCCTGCCTCTCTTTGCTCAGGACACCACCATCCACCCCATCCCCCGAGGCAGATACAGAGGAGACACACTGGCTCCTCCCTTTCTCTCCCCCCTAGGGAGAGAGTTCTGTCAGCCTGACCCCCTGTGGTGCCACTGAACCTTGTCCCCCGCCTTCCCCCCCCACCGCATCGCCCGCCGCCCTTCTCATATCTCAGAACTCGACATTTCTCTCCACGTGGGGCCTGTGGGCCCTCCATTTAACCTGCTGCCAGAGACGTTTTTCTTCCAAAAGCACCTCTGGGTGTCCCCCTTTTACTTTTCTGGCTCCCCATCACCTCCACACACCTGACATTTAAGTTTTGCCACAGTTGGTCCCCAAATTCTCAATCCAGTGCAATTCAACTTTGGCAACTTTCTCCAGTGGAACTGTCCGTAAAGTACAGGGCTCGCTTTCACTGTTAACCCTGGTGCGAGCTACTCCCGGAAGCCTTCTTGAACCTCGCCCATCCCATCCTCTGACCAGAAATGGCCTCCATCCCCTGGATCTCCCTTACCACCGAGTGTATCACAGCACATCTGTTATGTCATTGCTTTCTGTGTCCTGGTTTCTGCCTCCTGCTCCAGACTGGACCCCATAGGGCTTGGTATCTTATTCCTTCATCTCTGACCCCAATTCCCTAAATGTAGATTAAATTACAGAAACATGACTTCCAGACTCGGCTACTTTACTTCATGTTCTCAAATAATTTCCTTCCCCTCCCACCTTCACTCAGCTTTCCGGCCTGTGAAATGGAGACAATCCCTGTTGCCAGGCGTGCTTACCAGGGCTGGGAGAGAGTGAGAGGGTGCTACTGCCAGAGCTGCAGCGGGCTGACGGCAGGGCCCTGGCTGGGGCTGGGACAGGAAGGGTAGTGACCGTGGGAGGTGATAGAGGGTCCTGGAGAAGGGAGGCCCAGGCAGCGTGGACCCCCTGCAGGGACCACCCGGGGGGCTTCTCTCTGCTACCCCAGCCCTACACCTCTGACTGGCCTCTTCCTTTGTCTTAAGGTTGCCTGATTTGCCCCGAGTTTGGCCAGGATAACAGGCTGTTAGAGTGGGCAGGGGCCGGGCCGGGGACAGGAGTCTGTCCTCACTGGCTGGGCGACTCTGGGCTGGGGCCTGCCTCCTTCTGGGTCTAGCTGCCCCCAAATGGTGACATTTGCCTGGAGCCTGATAGAGCTCTGACTGGCTAGGAGAAGCCAGGCATCTGACCCCCTTCCACAAGGGCCAGGGGCGCAAGGAGAAGAGCCCCATGGGGTGCACAGGAGAGGGAGAAGGGGCCTTGGAGGCCAGGAGGTGTCTCTGGCCAGCTTACCAGCAACCTCCTCCACGCAGCCAGGCCCTGTGCCAGAGCAGGTGTGGGAACAGGGATAAAGACACAGGGCTTCCCCACACCTCCTTGGCCCTGCCCGGACCTGGGTGCTGCATCCCTTCATTTTCCACACACCCAGAGGACTGTGGACCAGGAGCCAGGCCTGTGGACAGGCTGGGACGGGGCTGCGGGCCCAAGCCCACTCAGTCAGGACAAAGAGGCCTCAGCTGACAGTGACCACGTGCAGATGTCCCAGGAACTTCATGGATCCTGTGATCAGTTTGAGGGTCTGCCTGGGACAGAGGGAAGCCTCAGTGGGGTCAGGTGTGAGGTGAAGACGAGTGTACCATCCCACAGTCAGGGATGTCCACCATAACAACAGCCGCTCCCCGCCCCCGACAGGAAGTGGCGAGCAGCCAGGATTAGCCTGTGCACGTGGAGGCCCATGCCCACCTGCTGGCAGGGGAGGGGCCCGTGGCACCTGTAGTCGTATTACCCCTGGCCTGGGGACTGCTGGACACACCCTCCACAAGAGCACCCTTCCTGCCCCGGCAGAGGCCTTGGGGCAGCGAAAAGACTGAGACCCACAAGGACGCATCTAGTCGCTGCCTGTCCTCACCCAGCAGTTCTGTCTGCGAGCCCCTCATTTCTGCACCAAATTTTTTCTCCCTCTGCGCATCCTCTCTGAGGATAGCTTATAACAAAGCAAGATCAGGAATGACGTGCCAGCGGTGGAATTGCAGGCCCCTAGGAAAATAAAGAGATATTTTTCTATAGGCAGTAACTGCTGTGAACGCTCACGCCACACTTCACAAGGTGGAGGGTGGGCAGCCCTGTTCCCAAGCAGAGCCATGCCCGCCCTTCTCCCTGGCTCAGCCGGGCAGGAGAGTCTCCCTTGCCTCAGAGCCTGAGAGCCAAGAGAATCCTGGGGGCTTTCCTCAGACCTCAGGTAGGAAATACAGGTATGTTGGGCAGAGCAGACGGGAAGCAAGCCTCGAGGTGGACAGAGAGTGGCAGGAGGAACCAAGGTCCAGGCTGGGAAGTCAGGTCAGGATGGAGAGGGCACTGTCCTGGCTCTCTCCATCCTGACCTGTGTATGAGAACCAACCTCCAATTCACTCCCTGACCAGTGCCAGTGAGCCTTCTCGCAAACTGCGCCACACTCACAGCCCTCACTGTGGTCAGCTGTGGTGTACGGCAACTGGACAGTGAGAGGGACCAATGGGCCACCTATAGCCAGGCCTTCCCCTCCCCTCTAGGCACAGGCTTCAGGGCACTACACCTTATACACCTGTTATTTACAGAGAGCACACACCCACGTTTACGCAGCCGGAGAAAGGCACATAGGAACACACGGAAAACTCACGGGCACATACTCAAACGCACATGGACACAGTGACACATTCACGCTAGATCCATATACACAGCCATATGTGCTCCACACGGCCCCAACAGCAACACAGACACACGCACACAGACCACCCACACGCACACACGCAAATCCACCAATGCTGGTGACAAGCCCTGCTGGGTGTCCCTTGCCTGGCATACCTTGTTCCATCCCATACTGTGTGTCATGGGCACCCAAGTCAGAGACTCTGGGAACCTAGATCCAACCGGTACGGCTCAGGCTGTATCTCACCAGTTAGGCTGCCATGTGGGCAGGACTGAGGTCCACTGTCAGGCAAGATTTCAAGAGCTCTAAAATAGAACGTCACCACCACATCCTCAAACAAACCACCACCTTCATATCCAGAGGATCTTCATTTCCCAGGGGACTGAGTGGGCTCACAGTCCTTCCTGACAGTGGGGAGTCTGGGGCCTTGGGGAGAGAGAACCAGAGGCACCAGAGCTGAGACACAGTGGGAAAAATCAGCCAGGTCAACTCAGGCAACATCCAGGGACAGCCCTGCTCATGACACATGTGCTGTGACCAGACCATCCAAGCTCAGGGGAAGAGAAGAAAGAGTGGGCAGGATACTGACCACCTGCTCAATTCTCTATCCATCCAGCTATTCATTCAAAAAAAACAAAAAACAAAAAAGGTAGTGATCACCTACTACATTCCCAGCACTGACTGAAGCATGGGGGATGCAGATTTTACACCAGGCAGAGTCCCTGTTCCCCTGGAGCTTACGTTCACCCAGCCATACGTCCTCCTGGTCTCCATTCTATCCATCTAAAGGTTTCCTTCTGAGCACTACTGTCTGCCAGGCTCTGTGCTGGGTTTTGCAGGACAGACATGGCAGGACATGGCAGGTTGTGCCGGTGGCTCTGGGAGGTAGGAGAAAGCAGTGATGCTTTAGAAGCTCAGGAAAGAGAGATGGCACTTTAGGCCCGGGGCTCCCTGGGGAAAGGCTTCTCAGTGGACGTGTCAGTGGGCAGGAAGGATGCCGACCGTGGGAGACGTGAAGCACCCAGGCAGGGCATATCCGTCAGGAATCCTTAGATCGCAAGTAACAAAACACCACCACCCCAAACTGGAAAGGAATTTATTGGTTCGTGTCACCGTCAAGTCCAGGCTTGGGATGAGCTTCAGCCGTGCCTTGATTCTAGGGCTCGAGCGCTGCCCCAGGATCTGCTCACTCACTGCTGTCATCTCACCTTCTGAAGTTCGAGCCAATGAAGGGGCAGCTCCAGACCTCATATCCCCTTGGCTTCAGTTTCATGCCTCTGTTCTAGCATGCTCTAGTCACGTTACATTTCATAAGCTCTGCCTGGGTCATGTGTCCATCCATAAATGAATCACTGTGCCAGGGAAACATAAGGTCGTCACTGGTCAAAGACCCATGCTCTACCCAAGCTCCACCCTAAGCACAGGGCAGAGTGACCCTGGAGTGGTTTCCCAGAGCAAGTAGGATTCAGTTACACGACAAGGGTGAGGGGATACCTGGCTGGAAAATGATCCCTGTTCCGTAAGGGAGCCGGAAAGCACAAAAGCGCAAAAGCAAAGACTGGAACGTGCAGGAAAGAACAATGGGTGTGGCAACCAGGAAAGGAAAAGGGAAGCGAAGGAGTACAAGGGTGAAACGGTGTATGGGATTCTAATTGTGAAAGTTCCAGCCTTAAATTGGACAAACGTTCTGGACTTGATAGTGCAGGGTCTAGGGAGCCCTGAAGGCTCCTGAGAGGGGGCGTGGGAGGCAGAGGGAGGCAGATGCTCCTGGACCACCAGGAACACGTGTTCACTCTGCCTCCCACCCGCAGACTCCCATGTGTGGAGCGCCTCCAGCCCCTCCTGACTGCCAGACCCTGGATCCACCTTCAAGGCTGTGATAGTAAACAATCTTGCGGTTAATATTTCCCCAGCTGAGCCACAGGGAAGGCGGCAGTCTGGTGGGTGGCAGGCCTCGGGCTACTCTGAGGGCGATGGGAGAGATGGCTGAGGGTGTTGTGGTTACTCTGGCTGCTGGGTGTAGACTAGATGACCGGAGAGCATGAGGATAGGAAGCACAGAGGTCAGCTGGGAAACTACGGCAGCCATTCAGGCCAGCGAGTATGGAGTCCTGGAAGGCAGTGGAGAAAGAGGAGGGAGAAGACAGGAGACAGTGAACGCTGCTGATGGCTGAGGACCAAGAACTGACTGGTTTAGCAACATGGTCACTGAGACCTCTGAAGGGAGGACTTTGGTGGATACGCAGCTGAGCTGGGTCCCATCTGCTCTCATGGACTGTGGTGTGGCCACTCAGGCTGAATTTTTCCTTGTGTCCCCCTTGTTGGGGGAGGCCTCAGCCTGCCTCTCCCCGAGGTCATCCATGCCAGTTATATCTCCTTGGCCACTGAGCCTACTACTCTCAGAATAGCTGGACGGTGGGGCCTGGGCCAGGTAAGGAGCCTGGTGTCGTCTGAGCACAGTGGCCAGGAAAGCCTTGAGGTACTGGCGGAAGCGGCGGCTGGAAAACGCATAGAGGACGGGGGTGAAGCAGCAGTGGAGGAAGGCGATGCTCTCTGTCACCTGCAGCGCATAGTCCAGGTGCTGGCTGACCTTGCAGTCCCCAAAGACTTGCAGGTCCAGCAGCGAGTGCAGAAACAAGGTGACGCTGTATGGGAACCACAGCACAAAGAAGGCCACCACCAGGCCTATGGCCATCCTCAGAGCCCGGCTCTGGCCTGGGGGCCTCAGCCTGGCCAGGACGGAGCCAATGCGGGAATAGAAGAAGATCATGGCAAGCAGGGGGAGGAGAAACCCCAGGAGGTTCTGCTGGAAGCGGAGGAACAGCTTCCAGATGGTCCCATGCCCCCCAAAATCCGCAAAGCAGTCCCACGTGCCTGGGGCGTTTTCATGCGTCCTCACAAAGACCATGTCGGGGATGGAGACAGCCAGGGCCACAGCCCACACGACAGCTGCGAGGAGCAGGCTCTTGGCCCGGGTCCTCAGCCGGTGGTGGGGCTGAGCGCAAACAATCTCCAGGTACTTGTCCAGGCTCATGCAGCTGATGAAGAAGATGCCACTGTAGAAGTTCATGGTGTAGAGGGTGCTCACCACCTTGCATAAGAAACTCCCAAAGACCCAATGCCAGGCCACAGAGATGCCCCAAAGGGCAGCTGATGAAGAAGATGCCACTGTAGAAGTTCATGGTGTAGAGGGTGCTCACCACCTTGCATAAGAAACTCCCAAAGACCCAATGCCAGGCCACAGAGATGCCCCAAAAGGGCAGCGTCACCAGAAACAGGAGGTTGGAGATGGCCAGGTTTAGCAGATAGATCTCGGTCATCCGCCTTCGAGGCACATACCGGAGCAAGACCACTAGGAGAAGGAGGTTCCCGCCCAGGCCCAGCACAAAGATCAGGCCATAGAAGAGTGGCAGAAAGACTCTGCCAAACGACAGCACCTCGTCCTTCCTGCAGAGCATGAAGGTCACGTCGCGCAGGTAGTACTCATAGTCATAGAAGGAGCTGCTGTTCTCAGAACTGGCCACCTTGGTGATGGGCGGCAGAGGAGAGGCGGTGGCGGCCATGGCGGGAGGACACATCCGGTGCTGGAGCTCTGTGGGCCAGAGAGCAGTGTGAGCGACAGGAGACGAATCCACCCTCTCTCCAAACCCACTTTAGCCAGTGCTCTGGGGTGTCCAATAGACTCTTCGCATTCACGCCCGTAACCCATAGGCTAGCAAGTACGGGGACGAGGATGAGGAGCCCAAGGCTACCACTTAATAGTTATGTCACCTTGGGTAGCTGACTTAACCTCAGGTGTTCTCACAGTACTCACTTCTTTTTTTTTTCTTTTTTTTTTTTTTTTTTTTGGTGTATCTCCCGTTGCGGAGCACAGGCTCTGGACGCGCAGGCTCAGCGGCCACGGCTCACGGGCCCAGCCGCTCCGCGGCACGTGGGACCTTCCCGGACCGGGGCACGAACCCGCGTCCCCTGCATCGGCAGGCGGACTCTCAACCACTGCGCCGCCAGGGAAGCCCAGTACTCACTTCTTTCATGATGGTTTCTCTTCTTTATTTTCCCCCTCATCATTTATAAAGACTGATAATGTCTTTCATGTTTTTCTTTATTATTTAGGGATACCAATTCAATGATTTATTGTGTACCTACTCCTCCTCATGTGTGGCTTGAAATTATTCTTCTTTGTGTGGCTTATAATTCTTTCTTTTTAATGAGAGCTTCTCTTCAGTGGGGCTTGCTCTTTCTATAAATACCTAGTGTGTCTACTCTAGCTTTGAACTCTCTTTACTTCTCTCACTTGAGGATTTCCCTTCCTTTGGTTATTTTAAAAATATTTTATTTATACATATTTAGTTTTATGTCAATATCCTCATTTATAAATATTTAATATTTTAAAAATATTTTATCCACTATTTCTAGGTTTGCAGCAGAAAGGTGCGAACCGGCATATCGATAGACTCAGAACTAAACCTACTAATCCCTCAGTTTCCCCATCTTTAACATGATATCAATTATAGTGCCTTTTCGTGGGGTTCTTGTGAGGCTTAAATGTTATAATTCAGGCAGAGCATTTCGAGCTCTATGAAGAATGCCCAGAACATAGGAGGCACTCAATAAACATTTGCTTAAATTATTGCTTTGGGGCTTCCCTGGTGGCGCAGTGGTTGAGAGTCCGCCTGCCGATGCAGGGGACACGGG